ACCATGTTCTTGGATTGGAAGAATCAATATTGTTAAAATGAACATATTACCCAAGGAAATCTACAGATTTAATGCAGTCCTTATGAAATTATCAATTGCATTTTCCACAGAACTGGAACAAAAAAAAATTGTTAAATTGTATGGAAACACAAAAGACCCTGAATAGCTGAAACAAACTTTGGGAAGAACGGAGCTGGAGGAATCAGGCTCCCTGACATCATACTATACTACAAAACTACAGTAATCAAAACAGTATGGTACTGGAACAAAAACAGACACATAGATCAATGGAACAGGATAGAAAGCCCAGAAATAAATCCATGCACTTATGGTCAATTAAACAAAGGAGTAAAAGTAAAATAAAAGTAAAAGCAAAAATAAAAAAATGGGACCTAATTAAACTTAAAAGCTTTTGCACAACAAAGGAAACCATAAACAAAATGAAGAGACAACCTATGAATAGGAGAAAATATTTGCAAACAATGCGGCCAACAAGGGATTAATTTCCAAAATATCAAAAAATAAACAACCCAATCAAAAAATGGGCAGAAATGAATGGTCTATGCTGGAGGGCATGCAGAAAAGGGAACCATCCTACTCTGCTGGTGGGAATGTAGTTTGGTGCAGCCATTATGGAAAACAGTATGGAGATTTCTCAAAAAACTAAAAATAGACCTACCATATGATCCAGCAATCCCACTTCTGAGTATATATCCAGAGGGAACTCTAATTCGAAAAGATACATGCACCCCAATGTTCAGAGCAGCACTATTTACAATAGCCAAGACATGGAAGCAACCTAAATGCCCATTGACAGATGACTAGATAAAGAAGTTGTGGTATATTTATGCAATGGAATACTACTCAGCCATAAAAGTAATAAAATTATGCCATTTGCAGCAACATGGATTAACCTAGAGATAGTCATTCTAAGTGAAGTAAGCCAGAAAGAGAAAGAAAAATACCATATGATATCACTCATATGTGGAATCTTAAAAACAAAAAAAGAACACCATGAACTCATCTACAAAACAGAAACACATTCACAGACAGTAAACAATCTTATGGTTACTGGGGAAAAGTACTGGGAAGGGCTAAATTTGGGAGTTTGTGATTTACACATATTAGCCACTATATAAAAAATTGATTTAAAAAAAAGTTTCTTCTATATAGCATAGGGAACTATGTTCAATATCTTGTAATAACTTTTAATGAAAAAGAACATGAAAATGAATATATGCATGTATATGCATGACTGGGACACTGTGCTGTACACCAGAAACTGACACATTGTAATTGACTGTACTTCAACAAAAAAAAAATGGGCAGAAAATCTAATTAGACATTTCTCCAAAGAAGACATACAGATGACAAACAGGTACATGATAGATGCTCAATATCACTAATTATTAGAGAAATGTAAATCAAAACTACAATGAGTTATCACCTCATACCCATCAGAATGGCCATCATAAAAATTCTATAAATAATAAATCCTGTAGAGGGTATGGAGAAAAAGGAACCCTCCTACACTGTTGGTGGGAATGTAACTTGGTACAGCCCACTATGGAGGACAGTATAGAGATTCCTTTAAAAAACTAAAAATAGAATTACCACATAATACAGCAATCCTACTCATAGGTGTATATTCAGAAAAGATGAAAATTCGAGTTTCAAAAAATATATGCACCCAATGTTCATAGCAGCACTATTTATAATAGTGAAACCATGGAAGCAACCTAAATGTCCATCAACAGGTGACTGGATAAAAAAGATACAGTATATATATATATATATATATATATATATATATATATATATATATAATAGAATATTACTCAGCCATAAAAAGATATACTATATATATATAATAGAATATTACTCAGCCATAAAAAGGAATGAAATAATGCCATTTGCAGCAATATGAATGGACCATATCATATTATTATATTAAATGAAGTAAGCCAAAGACAAATATCATATGATATGACTTATATGTGGAATCTTAAAAAATGATACAAGTGAACTTATTTACAAAACAGAAATAGACTCAGACATAGAAAACAATCTTATGGTTACCAAAGGGGAAAAGGGGGAGGGATAAATTAGGAATTTGGGATTAACATATACAAAATAGATAACCAACAAAGGTATAGCAGAGGGAACCATACTCAGTATGTTGTAATAACCTACAATGGAAAAGAATCTGAAAAAGAATAGACTTATGTATGTATATGTATAATTGAATCAGTGTGCTGTACAGCTGAAACTAACACAACATTGTGAATCAACTATACGTCAATAAAAATAAGCACATTAGGTAAAACTGAGTAAATCTGAAGGAAGCATGGACTTTAGTTAATGACAATGCACCCATATTGGTTGATTAATTGTAATAAATATGTCACACTAATCCAAGATCTTAGTAAGACAGGAAACTGTGGTGTGGGGTATATTTGAACTCTCTGTGGTACCTTCTCGATTTTTCTGTAAATCTTAAACCGTTACAAAAATAACGGGTTTTTAAAAAAGTACCTTGTCTGAGCAAAAGAAAATTTTAGACAAATAGCAGATTGAAACTCCTCCTGCAAAGTGAGACCACAAAACGCTGATTAATATTATTAGAGAATGCCTGCAGCCTGCACAGTGATGAGCGCGAACCCTCCACACGCGAGCAGCCAGAGGTCCTTCTAAGCGCCTGCGTCCGGGGAGGCATTTCGCGGCGGGATGTAGGACGTCACCACAGACGGAACGACCGCATAGCGAAACAGGGGATCATTTTTCAGTCTGTGTGTTGAACAGGAACTGAATCTCACTGTTCTGGAGTGTTTTAGCTGCCCTTCCGTCACCACCACCCGCCAGAAAACCAAGGCCCTGGCAGGGAACTCCAGTTCACGGCGCAGCTGAAGGCTGCTACGCGCAGCCCGATGATGGGAAGCCAGGCTGCAGCAGAGATGAGCTGACGCAGACTCGTCACTCTAAAACTGAACTCAGAGTAAGTGCAAAGTCTTAAAACCAGAAGTAGGTATCCTAGACAGGCAGTGTGTGTCAAGGATAACATGAGATGCCTAAAAGAGAATCCATGGTACTCAACACAACACTTTTAACTCTTCTGAATAAAGGTTTATCCCAGGTTCTTCTGAGAGCAGGGCTTCCAGATTATCATCTGAATTCCTGGTGTGTCCTTGAAAATTCACAGCATACAAACACACATACAATATTTGCATTATTATCATTATAGTGGAACTCAGTTTCAACAAATTCTTTCCCACTATCATGAAGTTCTGAGCTAAAGAACCCTTTTAGGTGTCATTACTACCAGTAACCTAGATTCAATGAACTCTATTTGATTTTTAGACTCAAATTTCTGATGTCCCAAGTAGGTAAAAATCATATACGTGGAACCTCCTCACAGAAGGCTGCGTTAACGAGATTTGTTTCTAAGGTAGCACAAGATAAACACGTGCCAGTTTTCAGTTTCTGAAGCAAGTTGGTGTGACACTAGTCTTGCAGGAAAATATTCTAAGGAAGACACTATTAACTCGATAAATAATTAGTTATAAGAATGTACTTGTCAGGGACTCTGCCAGATATGATAAAGCCCACAAAGTAGTATATCATTTCAAGAAATAAATTTATATTTTTGGTAAAATAAGACCACAAATTTCTTCTGGGTTAATTAGGTTGTTTGAAACTCTAGACAGATTTTCCCACAATACTGCTATTCATGGTGGTTGTGAGCTCCACTCTCTCATGAGACAGTTTAACATCGCTACAAGGTATAGAGTGCTTCATGGTTAAAAACAGGCATAATATACAGCTTGAACAACTAGGAATATAACCCCTCCTTTGGTATAAGAACAAGTTCTTCTCAACCCAAAATCACAGGTGGCGGTTCCTAATATTCTGATGGAAATGACCTTCTAACGTGCACAGTGAGGGTAAAGAAGGTCTGGAAATACACAGGCAGGGCCAGCTTTACGGGCCTGAGCCCTATGCAGTCACACAGGACCCCTCGCTTAGAAGGGTCCCCCATTTGGTTTAAGGCTCTGTTGTCAACATCTTGGAATTCTTAACAATTGTTGAACAGGGAACCTCACTTTCTTTTTTCATTTTGAATTATGTCCGGCAAATTTCATATATAATCTTGCATCGAGGGCCTCTGTGGTATGGATCAGCATGAGGCCGAGAGGCAGAAGCCTGAAGCTGCCAGGCCAGGAATGTGGAACTGAACAGCTCTCGAGACAGCGGAAATGGGAAGGCCAAGGTCTCCTATGCACCTGACTGACAGGGAGATGGTACACACTCAGGATACAAGAGAAAGAAGATACCTTTGTGATCTAAAATAGTCACAAAAAGCTTCATAGAGAGAGGGTGCTATTTGCACTCAAACTAATATACTAGTTAAGATTTTATAATATTGAGTCAGTCAGGCACCATTCTAATTTCTTTGCATATATTGACTCATTTAGGAAACAAGCACAAATGATTAAATAACTCTGTTAAGGCCCCACAGCTCCTAAGTGGCAAACCCAGGCAGCTTAGCTCCAAAGTCCATGCTCTGAACATTGCAGAGTGCTTATGGATTCAAGTGATTGCAGAGTTCATTTCCGTGAAGTCATCCTGATGCACATTTGATTTGCTGTCTCCGTTAAGTGAGATAATTTATGGAGATAAAGAGTGGTGGCATTTTATAACATTGTTACCACAGTGATGGCAACTGTTTATGATTTTCTGGGTCATTTATTACATTCTCTTTTAGAAATAGATCTAAGTCTTTTTTTTCTTGGTAACAAGATCCTCTAAGTGAGTTTTCTCATTTATTCTTCTCAGGGTTACAGCATGGGCTGAATGAATGAATGAATGAACAGACACTATATATATATATATATGAACAGACACTATATATATATATATATATATATATATATATATATATATATGTATGTATCATGATTACCTGTTGCAAACCACTGTAATCGTGAAAGAGCTGGTCCTACCTTGCTGATCTCATCATGTGGCTGGCTGCTGGTGTTTTCTCTCTGGATTATGTTCATCAGGTCAGCACGGAACTTCTTTGCATTCAGGAAAACAAGTGGGTTGTTTATTAAGATAATTTTCACCTGATGCAGGGTTTCCTTTTGGAGGAAAAAGGAAATAGATTCAGAGTTCTGAATGAAATAAAAGAGGATCACCGTCTCCAAGGAATATAGATCTGATAAGTCCAAATGCCACTCAATCACGGAAGCAACCGCTTAGCTGATGTCTTCATTATTAAAATTTATTTGGATACCTTAATACACTGTCACACTTCTCAGAGAACATAAGTACTTTCTCTTTATTAAGAACTGTTGGGCGGCAGGTATAGCTCAGTGGCAGAGTGCTTATTTAGCATGTATGAGGTGCTGGGTTCAGGAAAAAAGTTAGTATCCATGAGATAAGTCTGCAGCTTTTCAGAACATGGCCCTTATTCCTATTAATTAGGTTTGGGGAGGTGACTACCTAAAATATCCAAACAGTACCAGGAAGACTTATCCTCCTAAAAATACCCCTTCCATTTAATCTAGAAATTTAAGCTCCTTTACCCGCCCATCGGGATTTTTAACAATGAAAATACGTCCAAAAGGATCAACTGTCGGTCACTTACCTCGCAATGACATAGCCCTCCTTAGGCCGGAACAGCACCTTACAAGTGACCGACAGCTCTAACAGGGGGAAAGAAACCAAGAGGTGGTACCAGGGATGGGATTTTGCTGTGGGCAGCCCTAGATTACACTGGATTTCTAGGATGCGGGCAAGACTTAATGAAATGGAGAAGGAAACATTTCAATACAAAAGGTGTCTGCTTTGGCCATTTGCCTAGGTCTTTCTGGCAATACCGCCTTCTCCACGACCTTAGTGGCAGGGGTCTGACTTAGAGAATGAGAAGATGGTAAGTTCTATAAATTTGTTTAACTCCTTACCAACTAAACAAAGTAATACTCCTTAGACTTAAGTACAGAAGTGCTGAGGAGGAGATGCATACAGGCAAGAGACAGAAAGATAAAAGAAAATATTAGGTATGTGAATTTAGACAATTCATTTAAGCTCTCTTTGCTTCCTCATTTTCTAAAGTAGGTAAATTTTTAAACTAGATAATTTCAAAAAGTTTCTATAGGTACACAACTGTTTGTACTCTAGAAAGTGAGGACATTTGCTATAAATAAACAATTCGAGAAAACAAAAACCCTTATGTTACTAAATTAACTTTTAATCAAGAGGAAGTCTCTTACAAAGAAAAACTAAAATAATTATTTGGCTTGGAGCTCTGCATCTTAGATTGGCTTATTAATCACACCATGCGATTGTGCCAATATGTTTTAAGTTAATATACTTCTTAGAGATAGGCATTTATTAAGGAAGAGAGACTCAAATTAGGCCAGAAAAGAAATTCTCGTTAAAGCTGAATTCACTGAAAGGGAGGAGACCTTCCAAACCGAGAATGCTGAAGGGCAGGGTGGGGGAGGGAATGAGTGGAGAGGGGTGACTGATCCCCACCGTACTTCATGCTAGCTAAAAATTCCACCCAGTAGTTCATATTCAAATCTTTCTCTTAGATTTTCCCCCTTATTTTTGACACAAAACATTAAATAATAAGTGGGGCATGACAGTCTGATAAACTTCAGATTTTCATGTGACACAGTTATTATTCGGGTAGGTGACCAGACTGGAACCAACTAAGTGTCATAGACGTGGAGAAATTTCAGCATCTTCCTCCTTCTAAAAACCCCACATTCACTTCCTCACATATTCAGCCGGAGAATAAGGTGTGCATTTGGCAGAATTTATTAACCAGTGATCTCTAAACTGAGAAGTAGTCAAACTAGAATTCTGTTTCAGAGCTAAGAAGGTCAGGTACATGGCTGTGACGTATGGGGTCGGTACACACAGGACTTTAACGGTCTGAGAGTCAGTCTGGGACTTCGCACAAGCACTAAATTCCTATGGAAAATTTGAAGGGAGAAAAGAAAGAGGTAAGAAAGAAAAGAAAGGCAGTATTGACGGAAACCTTGAGCCTGGGACACCTTCAAAGTCTTTGAACTCAAAAAGCTTTCTATGAGGCAAGTCTGTCAATACTTATTAAAATGCAAGCCCTTTCCCTGGGTGTCGCGGAAGGACCCCGGCTGCTGCTTCCTACTTCCAGTCTACTCAGAAACACCCTGACGCTCCTCCTTCTGGTGGGAGGCCAGTTCTCTCTGCTCTGAGCGCAATCATGACTTACTAAAACTAGTGAATACAAAAACAAAGGGAAAAAGATGAGCCAAACATTACAAAGCAGGTTCAAAGTGAGGCCAACTTTTTTAATTGGCAAAAATTCAAGTCAACATTTTTTTCTTCTCTTTCAACTTGTTTTGGTCATCCTCCAGAACAAGAAGCTAGAACTCAAACATAACTAAACATAGATTGGACAAGGCAATTTATGTAAGCTGTTTCCTTAAAAAAGTGCCCACTGTGCAAAGAAACCAATCTTATTGGCATTAATTACCATCTGCTAATAATACAGAGTCATTATTTGTGTTAAAAAAAAAAAAACCATGATCCCACTTTGCTTAATTTCTTTCCCTATTCCTTATTTTCCTCCATAATTTAATTGGGAATAGAATATTAGTTTAGTCTGGCTGGTTTATGACAACGTAGTAATGGAGAAGAGGTTCCAAATTGTCTGAACCGATCTGGACCATGAGTCTACTGTGAACTGTGCTTCTGTGAACTGTGCCATCCTCTTATCTGAATGCTGATACAGGATTTCTCTTGTTTCCACTGATTTGTTACATGTTGATTCCCACATACATAGGGGTCACATATGCCACTGAAAGTTCACGCTAATCAAAAATAGAATTATCATTGTTAAGTTAGTAATTTATAGCTGCTTCTCGTGGTATCTAAAAACTACCTGACCCACAAAAACTGTCAACTACACAAGAAAAGGAAACTAAACTTACGTCGTCCACTTCTCTCTTCAATTTAAATTCCATTTCTTTCATATTTTTTATACTCAGAGTTTTTGCTCTAGAATGAAGTCAGATAGAAAATAAAATGTTATTTCATCACTACTACACTAACCATGAAGAAGTAAAAAGGGCAAGTCATTTGACTGTAACAGTTAGACCATCTCTAAAATGGTTCAGCTGCTGTATCCAGTTTGTTGATAAAACAATGTATATGTCTCTGGGATCCCCAGATGCAGAGTAACAAAAGAGACAGCTAAATAGAGATTTTAAAACGTAATTTATCTCATCTGGGCTTCTAGCATATCTTCACTCTATAAGAGGTGGATTGATAAGAGCAATAAAGGAGACAGCTAGAGAATACATGGTCTTTGAGAATATCATATTTTAGGGGAAAGGAATTAAAGAGGAAATCAGTGGTAAGATAGGACCAGATTATGATGAATCTACACATATAGACTCCGTAAAGATAGAATTTACAGAGGTTAAAATTAGTATTTTTAAAAATTTATTATTTCACAAAGAATTTTAAGGGAAGGATGAGAAATGAGTAGAAACATTGTCAGATGACGAATACTAGGGAAACAGAAAAAGAATTGGTCAAAATAGGGGAATGGTTTACAGATGCTCAGTTAAAAAAAAACAAAGAGAATGTGTTCTTTAATAAATTACCTTTAAAAAGTAGCTAGATTAATACAGCTTCTGAAAAATTAGATTTCAAACAATTACATTCTTATATGGTTTGTGTCTCATTGGAAACTACATCCTTTCATGTAACTTAAAAAAAAAAAGAGCTCTGTGATGTACTGTATGGCCATGGGGTTAATTTCTTGACTTTAACGGATTTTATACATTCTATTTTGTAGTTCTGACAAAATATTTCCCATCATTAAGACCAACATTGTTATGTATCACAAGTAAACAAAAACTTCTCTTTTTCTCTCTAATTCTAAATAAAACATGAGATTGTAGTACTTCCTGTTCCACACAAATAAAAGTAACTGGCGACACCATATACTTCGCTGCTGTGTCACAATAAACAGAGCATTTAAACAAGATCTTACCTTGGGAAGCGACCAATCACAATAGCTACGGTACAGACAACACCAAACAGCAGCCCCACATTGGCAGCAAAACATATTGAAAATATGTATGTACTGACCCAGATGCCCTGAAAGAGAAGCAGGAAACGGAAGATGTAGGTCCTTCGGTATTCGCGTCTTTCTCATGATTGCTCAATTCCTCACTATCTTTTTCTAGAACATTCCTGTGACAAAAATCTCTCAGCAAGAAAATATGATTTAAGAAGCGATAAACAGAAGCCCAGGAACACAGAAACAAATCCAGGCCCCACCAGACTTCCAGTGGCCGAGGGAAAGGGAAAGGCAGAAGACAAAGGTGCGTTGTTTTGTACACAGATGCTGCCAAACCCGAAGTTCGATCCCCAACAAACGCTATTTAAGACCTGTGAATAGTTGGTTGATGTGTTTGGTTCCAAAGCATGCCACAATTTCCTACTGTTTTCTCATTTAATGTAATATTACCAACAATTGTTTGCAGATTTTTTGTCATTCACAATAATATTCTGTTTTTAGGATTTCTATAAAAAGAACAAAGGTAGCTAATTACTGCATAAGACTGTCAAAGCCTAATGTTAAAATGACCGACTCCAACGAAACAACCAAAGCCACTTTTAGATCAGCCACTATAAAGAGGGTTATAATTTTATTTGCAAGGGTCACTTCTTGTGAAACTGTGAAAGCTAAAAAAATCAAGACTAGCTTAGTATTGGAAAATATTTCAAAAGATTGCAAGAAAATTAATTCTATTTCTCCTTTAGTTGGGATTCCAACATTATAACAGTTTTGTCTACCACCTGAAATTACAATTTGCAACAAGATACTGTATTATAGTTGGCAATTCTAAGTTTATTGCCAGCAAAAAAAAAAAAAAAAGATTTGAAAGCTAAATAATTTGTGAAATCTAGAAGGTTGTATTTTCTAAACGTAAAATTCTGCATTTACCAAACAGTAGACCAACAAAGTTTCCAAGCTCTCTTTTCCCCCAAATTACCTGCATTGCTTTATCTATGCGTGACGTTCTAAGGCGACACCTTTCTTTCCCAATAGTGGCATTATCACCTTAAAGCATCTTCAACAACATAATTCAATTCCATACGCTAATGAAAAAGTTAAAAACTTCTCTATGATCTGAAAACAGCAGATTCTTGGGGGGGGTATAGCTTTTGTCCAGACAAGTTTGAAACAAATGTTTCTAAAGGGTATTTTTAACCTCTGAAATTCCTCCTTGTCTGTATTATTTATCTACCCTGAGCTTGAGTGGTTCTTAATGTTCAGCTATTTCCAACAGCTAAGCCCTTGGAAGCAAATGGACAGATTTTTATCTGTAAAATCCATTTTTGATATAGAAAAAACAAACATTCTGGAGTAAGAGAGAAAGTATGTTTTGAACGTTCTCATGTTAAGATCTATCACCTTCAAATGTAACGCTAAGTTAGCACTTACTAGCATCATCCTCAGCCTGCCATCCAACAGCTTAGACACTAAGATGTTCTTCCTCTATCCCGGTGAATGGACAGCCATTTGAATCTCTTGTCTGTGCACAGTGTGTTTTTTCCTTCCTAATGTGTTACATCAGAATTGATCATGTACAAAATAGGGCTTCAAGTTTTAATCATTACTTCAACTTGCCATGATTGCTCTCTTTCTCTCTCATCCCCTAATGCTGACTGCACCTGCCTGAGTGTGGCAGAATAAGACCTCACCGAAAGCTTTATAAGTCCTATGCCTCCTGGTCAACCTCATGATTCAGTGTGGCATAGAGAACTGAGGACGCTGGTCCCTGCCATTTAAAAAGCCACAGAGCCTGGAGGCCATGATTCGTCAGAGCAGCCAGAAATGTTGGTACCATCTGGTTCTACTTTTAAAGTGTATTTACTCTCCCACAACATCCTCTATTGTAAGCTGGGCTTACAATGCTTAGTTATTTCCTGGGGCTACATTTATAATTTTGAAAAAAAAAAGTTCAACTGGAAATTAGTAACATAGACAAGTGAACAGTTCCATTGGTTAGAATCAGTCCCAACACTATTCTGTAATGATTCCTATCAAAAATCCAAATGCTGGGTGTCACAGCTATAAGGAATTGGGTTCCTAAGCCCCCTTTTTTCTGTTAAGTGTTCTTACTTGGTCCCTTCCCTGTTTGGCACTCACAGCCCCTAAACACAAGATAACCCCAGAGTTGACCTCAAGTAGGGAACACATGAAAACTTTCTCATTATTAAAAAACGTATCCGTGTACAACATAGCTTAGCAGCTACTCCCTCGCTTCACCTCTCCCTGCTCCATCTGTTATCCTACCTGCTCCACATTCCATCTCTCTGGTGATGTTCCTGACTGGAGACTTAGAAGCACTCTAGACTGGTGCACTTTGTATGACGGATCGGTGATGAGGGCTAACTGACTGAATCGCAGATCTTAGTTGCAGCCCACACCTTCCTCATTTATTTGCCTGAATTACTGCACTCTTCATCAGTTTGATCCATCTTCTTCAAATTACTAAAATGATCTTTCTAATGCATAAATCGTCTTCCTATTTCTCACTTCAGTGATGCCTCACTGCCTTTATGGTGCAGTCTAACCTCTGCAGGACATGAGAAGCCTTTCCCAGTCCAACCCATTCTTAACTCTCCCAGCCCCATCTGTTCACACTCTATGCTCTACCCGTCATTTCCCGGAAGAAGCCTTCCCTGGTATCTCTCCCCTTGCAATATGGCAACGTGCTCTTGCTTGCGGGATTAATGAATTTCTTAGAAATACCTTTATCATGGGGTTATCAATAGTCTGTTAAATAAGCTTGCATCTTCTCATTTTTCTATTTCCATGTGCTACCTCACATATATCACCTGAAAAAGGTCATGATCCTCCATCAGCCTGGTTAATTTGGGCCTGTTGGCCTGCCTACCAAACACTGTTCCTTTGAGTCTCTGCTCACATTTCAGCTCTGCTGTGAGCTTTCTGTATTAACCCTTCCTGAATTAAATGTTCCAGCCTCTATTTCTCTCCAGTACTAAGCTATTCCTTTTGCTTCCAGGTTATGTTGCATCATGTCTAACATAATACGTGCCTATTTCTGTGTCTGCATTCTGCACAATGAATCGTGTCTGAAGAGGACCAGCGGTCCTTTTCTCATCTCTGTGCTCCACTTGACACCTTGTAGTGCACCTTGGTAGAAGCTCAGTATTACTGAGACTTCGGAAGGATATTATTAAAGCATGTACTAGCATAAATAATCCCCCCAAATCTCTCACAGCAAAGGATCTGAAGGAGGGGGAATACACAGGTAATTGCATCTCAACATGGTGAATGCCGTAACAGAGCTGAACTGAGGCCGCTCATGAAATGGTTCATCCCTATCGCAGAGGGAGAGGACTTTGAAGGTTCTTGAATAGACACATTTCTCCAGAACAAGTATGTGAAATATTTATGTTAGTAGAAACCATACTTCATCATCATTCAGTATAACTTAGTCTGTGCCTAGCAATATCCTGGTAACATAATGATCCTCTCAGGGCAAATCATTTAAGAAGCAATTCATTAGACTTCCTGTATTTAGAATGATCACTATTAATATGTTCATTAATAGGGTAACCTGTAATAATGAACATACTTTTCTTAGCAATCACTGCTGGCTTTTCATGTATGTTATAAACAGTCATATTCTTATTAGCTCTTCTTTGATGAGTTTCACTTCCGGAATCATTTCATAATGAACATTGGGAATCCCCACCCCACTTGAGTTGCCTAACATTTCTTTAAAAGTTCTTAAACAACATATCAATCAAAATGTGACAAAATTCCATTTGTTTCTTATAAAGACATTTTACATTTTGATGCTTTTATTGAGTTTGAAAAAATAAATGGCAGTTTGTAAAGTGTAAGTCTCAAATGGCTAAAACTATTTTCTGCAAATGGAACTATTAAAGCTTATTTTGTAACATGTGTTTAAGCCAAAGAGGGTAATTGTAGGTCAAATTTCTACTTACCCAATCAATTTTATCCACATTCCAATATTTTCTTAAATCCCGAAACTGTATTAACATTCCTTTCAATCCCACTACGATAATACTTGCAAGAACACACTACAAACAAGAAGCAGATGAAGAAAGCAAGAAAAATATTTTAATCTACATTTAAAAGAATCAAGGTATTTTTATTTCTTTGTTTTTGAAGTACTTACCAGAGAAAAGCAATCAACATTTAGAAGACTAAAGTAACATTCATTTTGTTTACAACTAACCTATTATTGTACTGTTGGAATATAATACCAATTCTAGAAAATCACAGAGCAAACATTATGCCATTTAAAAAAAAGAAAGAAAGAAAAAGAAAAGTAATGAATTATTAGGCTGAATGTCCTCTTTATAACCATTACCCACTGCCATTTGTTTGAAAAGTGTTTGTTGCAAAAATTAAATATTTACATCATATATTTATTTATAATCGTCTTGAGTATCAATTATCTGGCTTCACTTGACACTTACAACTCTTTTGAAAAGTGAACTCTATTACTGGAAGATCCTCTCATGAAAATGATTTGTTCTTAATACATGAATGAAGAATTAGAACGAGAAAGGGCTGAGACTGTCTCTGGCTCTCTGGAGACCAAGATCTTCATCACGTTTTTTTATTATTGAGTTATAGTCAGATTACAATGTGTCAGTTTCTGGTGTACAGCACACTTTTTCAGTCATACATGAATATATTTCAGATTTTCATATTCTTCACCAAGATCTTATCTGCATCACTTCAGTGCCCCGGGCGTGTGAAAAGCAAGGTAAGCACAGGCACTAATGTTCTGAGTCACTTTGTATAGAGATGTACCAAGGATGGCAGGATGTATTTTGTTCCCTACCCTCTTGCCCAGTACACATTTTCTAACAGTCCAAGTTTTGATAAAATTCTTCCAGAGTCTACTTCATGTCAAAGAGATGACCTAGTTCCACCTTCCAAATGGATACAGAATAAATCTAATTCCACAATGCCACTTTTATACAAAAGTCTAAGAATCCGAAAGCAGCATGGTACCCTCCCACACCTCCTCCATCACATGTGGCTTATTTCCACCTCTCCATTCAGCCATTGCTTATGTCACATACGTTTTCAGATTTAGGATCACTGAGGCTGTTCTTCAAAGGAATTTTGAAATACAATGATTCTAATTAAAAGTAAAGTTAAAAAGTAGATAATGACAAAGCACCGCTGTACCATGGGCAGCCAGTAAAGCAAAGGTCCTGCTGCATAGATGACCATCAGGACGAAGACGCAAGATATCAGACAAGCCACCTGTGAAATATAAAACAGACAAAATAAATAAAGCCTTCAGCTTTCTTATTATTCCAAAGTTATAAGGGGGAAAAGATAATTCTTAGTTTTCCTTGATTAGAAGCAACAAAAGGTTGGCATATGATTGATAAATTACATAGACCATCATTAACTATATTTTGTAGCTGAAGGAACCCGAATGTGACAGCTGACAATCTGGTGCGATCAAGTTAGGTCAGCAGTGAGAGGAAATCAGTTCCACACAAAGAAACAGGACACCACCAGCTTCTGTCTCACACACATCACGGCAACGGCTTTTTTGTTGTTGCTATGTAAGAGTGAAAATGACACTTCAGTTACAGGTCCTTTAGCCTGGTGTTGCTCAGCCTGACTCCCCTGCTCAGCTCCTAGGGAGCTGCTTGGGGAATAACTGAATATGCAGCTTAGGGTTTTTCTGTGCTGACGACAAATTTCCCTTGCAGTCCTTTGTTAGTACGAAGCAGTTACGTGGGATAAAGGGAGCAGTCTCTTCAGTGAAACAGACTTCATTTTATTATCCCTGAGAGTCATTAGTATTGTGTCCCGACCAACTCAACTTGCGGACAGAAAGCAGTTCAAAACATCGCACCCCGAGCTATGCCCCGCTTGATGGAGAACCTGATTTCACATAAGCAAATGTTTGTGTCTCGGTAGAAACACTTGGCCAAACCGTCAGCCCAACAAGGGAAAAGAGAGTTTTCACAGGACCAGAAAAACACCTAAAACATCATTATGGAGAAGTCAAAGGGAATAGAGTGGCTAAACATAGATATATAAATAAGTAATGAGAGCACTAGACTCGGAGCAGAGCTCTCAGACGGTGCTGGTGGGAATTCGATAGAGCACAGCCACTCTGAAAACAGTCCAACCATTTCTTATGAAGTGATGTATGACCCAGGACTAGACTACCTAAGAAAAATGAAACCATATGCCTATGAAAATACTTCTATATAAATATCAATAGCAGCCTTATTTTTAAACACCACAAACTCTAAATAACTGAATTGTCCACCAACTGGTGAGTAGATAAACAAATTTTGGGACATCCATACAATAGAATGCTACTCACTAATAAAAGAGTGACTGTGGATACACGCAACAGCATGGATGAAACTCAAAACCATTAAACTGAGTGAAAGAAACTGGATACAATTCCTTCTACAGTGAGCGGAACGCATCTAACAGCATTCTCCAGCATACGGAGGGGGAAGTCCTTCTGTGGGCAATAAGTCATTAGGGAGCTAAAGAGCACCCATAGAAGTTACAGTTACTGTCACCTACCTGATCATTTAGGAGAAACTGACGATTCCACATGATAAAAAATTTTAAACAGCAAAATATGATGACTGTCATTCCACTAGAGTGGATTGAGCAGATTACAGACTTCATTCAGATGCCCTCATAAGGGACTCAGTATATCCATGTTTATGTGGAAAGAAAAAGACACCAACTGCTAAGGTGCATTTCATGACAAACACAATGGTATGTATCCCTTTTGTGAGGCTGTTGATTCATATACTTAGAGTATATCTGAAAATAAAGCTCTTAATCTTAGGTGCAGATATGAACTTGGGACAGTTATTCTAAACTCCTTTGAAGGATCTGAAGGTCACAGAGGCAAAGTAGGGGAGAGGGTATAGTTCAGTGGTAGAGTGTGTGCTTGGCATGCATGAGGTCCTGGGTTCAATCCCCAGTCCCTCCATAAAAAATGAGAAGAAGAAGGAGGTGGGGGGAGGAGGAGGGGGAGAAGGACGAGGGG